CACGTATTCCTCGGAGGGTAGGCAATCGGTGTCCTCCGAGGATTTGAAAGCACGATTTCGTCAGAGGGATCAGATTCGGCATTCTCCAGAGCATTACATCAAGAAACGGGTTGCTCTAGAGGAAAAATGTCGAACAGTTCCTCGGAGGCAACACTTAACAATCCTCCAGGGGGAATCTGAAATTTGAATCCGCTGGAGTTGACTGGATTACGATTTCCCCTCGGAGGAAGCCATTCTTGCTTCGTCGAGGCGTTGCAGTAGTCTCATTTCCTCCTGAGGAAAAAGCCCGAAAATATTCCTCCTGAGGTATCTGACTTGCATTCCTCCGGAAGGTGGAGGGTGCCCAAGTTCCTCCAGAGGTTACTGGACAATGATGATATCCTCCAGGAGAGGAATGAATGTGAACTTCTCAAAGATAGATGCAGATGTATCCGCTGGATGAAAGCACCTGAAACAATGCTCGCGGGGTACCGCCGTAACAATCGTCGGGAGGGTTCTTCCGGCGGGTTGTTCCTCCGGAGGGTGTTGGTTTCTAAATGTCCTCTGTTTGTTGGGCATGATGATGTCTGTTGCTCTGGGGAAGGAAATTATCAGCTGAAAAATATCATGGCTGCGGCTTTGGCTCCATCACAGCAGCACAGAGCACAAAACAAAAAAAATCCGACGACGACAGAGGCCACGGGCTGCACGAGTCAGCAAGTAAACTTTCCAGAATACATGCTGCGGTGCTGCTGCGAGACACAGCCCGAGGATGGTCCCTCGGCCGTGCCGCTCTACACAAAGAGGAAGCGCAGGCAGCAGGTGTGCGCGGAGGAAGGCGCCGTGGTGGGCACACAGCAAAATTGGCCAAAAGGCGGTCGGGGGAGTCGGGGCTCCAAAATGGGGTGTCGAGATTCAGACACGAGCCCCCTTCTGCCGTTGTGTTTTTGCTTCGGCCGTTGGCTGACCATGTGTCACACCGGCACGCACACATATGCACGAGGAGCGATGAGCACCAGCCTCCGCAGACCGCTGCCACTGTACATCGACGTCCACACACCACAGCATCATGACCCGAGCAGAATGTGTGCCATCCTGCTTGGTTTTCACGAGCAAGGCTCTGACAACAATGGACCTGGAAAGAGCCTTGGCAGGGACGAGACAGAGAGAAGACCACCTCCTCCTTCCGATCCCGCGGCTTGTTCGAGGCAAGTGCCGCAATGTGAATGGCAGTATAGTAGAGGGATGAAATAGGCCGAGAAGGCCCTGTGCGAGGTGTGTTTTGGTGATTCCGTGGGTGTCGTTGCTTGGGGCTTGCTTCATTCTCCGCGGGGGAGGGTGTGTGGTTTGCTCCTGTTTTGAGACCGTACGACGAGGAGGGGCCCACGTGCTCAACATCACAGCTTGTCACATGCACTATGCGCCTGCACTATGTATGCGTCTGGCCAAAGCTTACAGACCAGCGCAGTCCTGAATTCATGCTAGCCAAACCATCGGGCGCGGTACCATGGGTAGGTCCACCTGGGCAAACCTGGGCTACCCTGTGTGGGCGATTTTTAATGGCAGCGCCTGGAAAAAAAAG